ACATCTCAAAAAATAATCAGGTTTTTCAGAATCTCCTGTCACTCTTTCACAAATCTGTGTTGACTTTGCCCAATCAGAAAATTTTTTCCAAATATCGAGTAATCACGTCCTTTGTTTATGAATTCTAATACCTTTCATATTACTGACAGGTTTGTAGTCCCATATTCTCTTGCCCTCCTTTCTGAGACAGTTGAATAACATTTGCAACCTTCCAATCTGCAGGCACCATTGCAGGGTTAGGAAATGCACCCATTATCTGTGTGGACATCTCTTTAAACATTCTAGGGCAGACATTTCAAACAGATGTCCTGTGGACCACAAATGTGGCCTGCTAGGGGTAGGCCTTATGTGGCCATTATTTGAAACCAGAAAGAAACAGAGAGGTTGTTGGATCAGGAATGGAGAGGAGGTGAAGAGAAGTTGTGAATCCTACTGTTTAAATGTTCTTTCCCACAAATCATGAGTATTGAGCAGCTTTTTGCTCCACAGGTGTGGGGGTGAATGAGTGACTGGAGGGGTGGATTGGTGTGTGTATGTTAGTGACTGGAGGAGTAAGTGAATGTATGGTTGGGAGGGAGTGTTGGATTGGGTTGGGTACACTATCCTTCCCCTGCTTCTTCTATCAGTTCAGACCATGCATCACCAGAGGCAAACCAAAGTTAGTTAGTTAACTCAACTCCTCTCCCTTCATCTGCAGCCCTTTCCCTGGTGATCAAGACTCAGGGCCTAAGTATTTTCTCTCTCCAGCTGTGTTTCCTCATCGAAGAGGGGTTTTATGAGTTAGTTTTGCCACCTTGCACTTTTGAAAGGTCATTTTTATCAATTACTTATTTAAATGATCAATTTATTTCAGAATTGCTGCTCCCTCACCCCATTGATACCCATATAATTGAATTTAAAAAAGATAATATTGGCAAATCTTGTCATGACCATTGGAGGTCTGGGATTAAGACATTGTTCATCTCTTTAAACCATGGCTGTAACTCTATTTAAAATGAAAAGCAAATTTGGAATCTTTGGCTTTAATATGAAAAGAATACAAAGCAAGATATCATAAACCTCTCTTAAAACACTGGATAGATCTCAGATGGTTCAAATCTTCGCACTTTATTTTAGGCCAGATGTTGAAGCCTTGATAGTCAGAAAAGATTTACTGAAATGGTGCCAGGGCTGAAAGAGTACAGCTATTTGGAGAGATCAGGCCATAGAATAGAGAGGGCTATAATTTGGTTAATGTTTCAAAAGCAATGGATTCTGGGAGAGTAAAGAAGGAAAACCAGTTTCCAGTTGTTAAAACTGGCCAGTAATCAAAAGAACCAGATTTAACATGATTGGTGGAGAAAACCAGTGGTAACATGAAGGAAGTTCTCTTTTCAATAAACCACAAGCTGTCCTATTGGATGCACTACTTGAAAAATTCAATAGTAACCTCTAAAGAGAACTGGATTAATAACATAAGAGGATTCTTTTCAAAAACAACAATGGCTACAGGGAAATTGGTGTAATTGGGTAGTTCTACAAAATAACAAGCATTGACTCAACACCACTTCTTCTTGTGCTGCATCATTTTATGAAACATCTGGTGCTCTTGGTGCGTTGATTTGACAACTGAGTTCAAGAGACATGTTTAAATTTAGTTTGTCCTTGTTCTTATAATTCTTTGGTCTGTAGCCAGAGTCGGACCAAACATTTTGGACTCGAACAAAAATTCCTATGTAAGAGGCCAATTTCAAGCTCTTGCCAATAATCCAATAGCAACTGTTCAATGCACTTAATTATACTGGGCACATCCTTTCCCCTGAGACATTAGGCGAAGTGGTACTCAGTGTGCCTATTAATTGTAAAACTGAAATGAGCATAAAGTGTGCACCAAACTCATTAGACCCCTGGCTTTAAATTTAAATTATGTACTTGTTCTCTACACAGCAAGCACTGAAAAAAATTCTAGTGAAGACAATGTCACTCTTTAACTTATGCTCCCTAGTCTCAATAGTGTGAGAAATGTGTTTAATGTAACCAGCAATCTTTCAATAGTTTAAATGCTGTCAGTGACTTTAAATTTAAATGTCAATTCAAACCCTCTTCAATCAATATTCCTCAAAATAATTAAAATTCAGAACTGGTGGACATTGATACAAGAGTCATCAGACTAACTGTAAAATGAGAATGTCCTCTACCACTATTTTGATCCTTTCAAAGCCATTTTGCAATTTAACTTTTATTATATGACTGGTCACTTCACTAACACTTTAAGGCAATTTATGGAATAATTGACACTTTTGTTCAATGCTCAAGCTCCTTGATTTAAAAGCAAATGTCCTATTGCATTCCAATGGAGAAAACTGACGTGTTAAAAACATTTATACACAAAGACAACCTTTCAGTTTTGAAGCTTAGTTGCACATTTGCTTTTCAAATTCAATATCATTATTCATGATCTGGGTGGAAACTTCAGCCTACAATGCAGCTTCTGAATAGAGGGATATTGAGCAATGGACAAAGTGTTGATTTTCAGATGGGCTGTTCAAAGTATCTGCTTGATAGACAATAGTGAAAGATTTCAGTGCTCAAGTGTAGGTCCATCTCCCCATTTCCTGGCAATATGGAGAGTGACTGTTGTAGCTGATTACAAATAAATTCTAGGTGCTGCTACTTTAGGTGTACTCAGGTTTTCTATTTCAAGGAAGTCAAGACAAAGTGCATACATTATGCAGAACAAGTAAAGTATTAATAAGCAAATTTTTAAATGGCAAGTAACATGAAAGTTTCAATTTACACAAGTCAACTGCACCAAGGATTTGTTCAGCTTGTACATAATGGCCATGTGGTTTCTCCCCATCAGATTTGCCAAAATTCCTGTTGTTTTTGCAAAAGATAGAACAGACAGATCATCAGTCTGAATCAACATTTTTAATTGCTTAGCAACACAGCCAGCAAGACATTATCCAAATACCAGTTGCTAAAGTGGTAGAAATTTTCCATTTCACTTTGAACATCTGCTACACTAAACATGCAGAGGGGCCTGGATCCCATACGACTCAGCATCTCCAGTCAGATTTGAGCATCATTGGTGAAAAACCTGGAAACAAATGAATTGTCCTCAAATGCTTTGATTTATCGTCCATGTACTTAGTACTAGGTTAGACCATCTTTAGATTAAGGGTCTGGTTTCCTTTCCTTTGAGAAAATGCATCATCTTACATTTTGTGATTAGTTCATTCATAAAAGCAACTTAGTGACCGAAAGTGTTTATTTGAGAGCTGAACACAAGATTTCTCTCCCTCATTTCCCTACCCCCTTTTAGGTAATCACTATCATCACATTCCAGGATGGTTTTCTGTAAACACCATGGATTGATTCACTGCCACAGAAACTGCCACAGATGTATTATCAAATTGCTGAATCCTCAGATTCTGATCACCAAGAGATTTAGGTACGTGTTTGGTCCTGCAGTGTAGACTCCTCTCAGCCTAGACTATCCTCATTGACTGTGCTGCATGTATGTGTAGCTATTGTCAGAATCCCTTAAAGTTCTGTTTAGTTCCATCATCCTCCTAAACTCTTGTTAGGAGTGAAATCAGTCACATACTACACCCCATGGATACATTCATTCATTATACAGACAAGTGGTATAGTGCAATATATACTTTATACAGTAGAAAACATGGTAACTATAAAAACTTAAAATTGATTGTAGTTATAGCTAGTGGGTGTATGACCTTAAATAGACCTATAGCTGGCAAGGTAACTGGTTAAGTTAAAGTATTGTTTTCCAAATTTCTATTTAATTGTCATACTAAAGATATGGAATGGAGAGAATCTTGCACAACCCAGAAGTCTAGCTTGGAGTTCCAGCTGAACAGCTAAGACTAGAACTAGAGGATTGTGGTTATATCCTCAAAAGATATGAAACCACAGTTCCTAGTTAATCCTAGCCAGACAGAAGAATACCCACATGCTGTGCTCAGCTCACTTGTTATTTGCCTGGATTTTAATTGCCCCTTTCATTCCATTAACAGGAGGACACGTGGAATGAATAAATAAACCCCACCTCACCGCCACTAATGCACTCATTCTGCAATATTAAACTGCTATCTGACAAGTGATTTATTTCACATCATGTACTATGCAGCCATCTGGTTCAGACTTAGACAAAAGGAATTTGAATCCTCATTCCACTCAGTCTCAGCTTTGGAATTTTTATTTTGCAAGCACTCCTTGAGACTTTTCACCAGAAGATTTAAACCCCATTTCAGTCTTATTGACATTGCTGCATGTCTAAAATAAACAATTAGTGGCTCTATGATTAGAATGAACTATTTCACTATATCCTATTTAAACAGTGCTCCTTAAACTATTTAAAGAGCATGGATGGATATTTTAAGCATTATTCAAACTAATGCAAAAATTACAGCTAAGCCAGGTTGAAGGGACAGCTGTTCCCCATTTGAAAGGGAATGTTTCAATTTTTCAGTTAACAGTTCAGGCAGACATTTCAGTGGCATGAATTTGCTATTTAGACTTGCATTCTGTAGTGCCTCAGTAGGCATGACAACATTTGCCAAAAAAAAATTTAACATCTGCTTTGTCAGAGGGTAAAGCCCAAGTTTAGGATTAAAAACTGGGTTAATAAAAAAAAAAGTTATTCTAAAACTGCAGGGATTTAGGTCAAACCACCAACAAGCTGTAGTTAGATTTTTAAAAGACAGCAAGGAATTATGGGATGTAGCAGGAATACAGCATGGAGACAGGATCAATCATGATCATACTGGACAGTGAAGCATTGAGAGATGCACTCCTGCTCCCAGTTACATTGTTAGAAATTCATTACTGTGTACAGGCTCTATGTATCTTCATTAAAAGGCAGCTAGCAGATTGCCACTTGCTACAGAACAATTAAGGTTTAGTTTGGAATAGAGCTCTGACAATGAACAGCTCATGCTAAGCTATAATCAACCAGCCCTCTAGAGTCAAATGGGAGTTAAGAGAGTTGCACTGTATTGACTTTTATATGCCAGTTTATTGCAATTACACCCATCATTGTAATCATTTAAAAGAGGCAGACAGGTTTCAAATTGAAGACAAGCAATTGTTACAGATCAGATGAATGTGATGACCTCAACAAGACAAAAATGAAAGTTGCCTTAGAAAAATGTAGTTAGAGTCATCCATTTAAGTTAGCATTAAAAATCAACTGTTCTACAGCTTGATTTCAAGTGGCAGCAAACATTGAGAAATCTGATTCAAGCCCAAGGGACTAATCCACTGGGATAGATCAGTATCAAGCTACTTTGTCATCTGATCCGCGAGGCTCCTGATCCTCAGTCAGCTGTGGGATAAAGGGTCCCACCAGCCAATTCAGGGGAGTATTGTGAGCCAGGTAATCCATCACCCCATCCATAGCTTCACGAATCTTCTTCATTTGCTCTTTACTCTGGATCAAGAATGGTATTGACAAATCTTGGAATGCAGTGGCTGATGAAACAGTATTGTAGATCTCTTCTGCCAGTTTACAGATGTGCTGCACCTGATTTTCAATATTCTGGGGCAAACCGCGAACATTTGATGACAGGGTCTGGCAGATGGTTTGAAGTTTAGAAGACAGATTCTGAGTCACAGCCAGCATTTCAGACTCAACTTGCTGAAATAAAGAAAAAAGTCTCCAATCCATACTGGTTTTAACTCCGTTTTGTTATTGCAAAGTAAATGAGGACAGTGGGAGGTGACAGTTAAAGAGAAAACTAAAGTGGCTAAAGATACTGCAGATGCTAGAAATCAGAAACAAACCAAATGCTGGAGAAACTCAATAGATCTGACAGCATTGAGAAAAAAATGTTGAATCTGAGATTCTGAAATGTTTCTCCCCAGGTACTGTCAAACTTTGGGAGTTTCTCCAGTGTAATTTTCAAAAGGGCCTAGACTTGTATAGCTTTAAAGCTGAATTACTAATTGATCAAGTGCTAGAACAAGTTAAACCCCATTGGTTGTTTGCTCTTTCACAAGTCCTTTACTACATTTGATTCAAGTAAAAGGGCTGTTATGCAGACTGATGCAAGACAGTATCATACTTGGTGAACTGTGCTTGTGCAGAACAAGGTTTGCAATAGCAATGCTGACCTAGTCATCTCTAGGAGTGGTCTAGGTGGAAGACAATTATTCTTCACTAAAGGAAGGAGACACTTGCCATATTTAAGATGCAGGCAACATCAAGTGAAAGTTGCATTACACTTACTTCAGTTTTCTCAGACAGCTCCTCAGCTTCAGCATTGGGCTGTTGCTTCCTCCAGTCAAGTAGGATCTGACTCAAAGTTGCTTGAACATCTTGTAATTTGAGTTGTGCTGATTCTGCACTTTTGTTGGCTGTTTCAATCTAGAAAACAACAATTCACATTTTAATCACAACAACTTTTGCAATTGAGAGAGAGTGGTCATGTCTCACTGATGTGGAGAATCATACCCTGTTGCTATTCCAGAAGTCACCACAACTATAGAGAAGTTCTGTTTACTCATCTTTCAGACCCAGGTTGACAAATTAGGGAGCAAATTTCCATGCTTTATCTATTGCTAGAATGTGTGGTAAATTGAACTGTGACTATAGAGAGGTGACCCCCATTAAAAAAGGTCTGAGCAGAGAGAAAGCAGTTCATTGGCAAGTCCTGTAGATGAGGACCAAAAGATTTTAACTTTTAAAAGTTGCTGTCCTTTGGATTTTCTCCATGTTTATTTGCTTGCAAGAGGTGGCGTGTTTGGTTTATACTCAAGTCTGAGTTATAAAAAGTTAAGAGCCATAGCTTACAAGTGGAAGTGGAGATGGAATTGAAATAAGTGGATTTTAGGCTGAAGTTTACACAGCAGAGAAGGCAGTCAACACCTTCCTTGTAGGATAGTTTCTGCCCTAGTATCTCAAATCTAGAGGGGAACACAAGTGAGCCAGTTGTTGACAGGCAGAAGGCAGGTCATTGATCTTGAGAATGAGCTGTTGTCATCCAAGTCTCCATTAAATACAATTCTGCCAGTAGGTCCACAACCTACTCCTGCCCACTTTTTGGATTTGTCCATGATGGTCTCATTTTTGGTCCGGATGAGAAAGATCCTTGATTGGGTGAGGGAATTCAGTTACTATGCAGCAAGACACCAAGCAGTCAATATTGATTGAAGTCAAAAGATCCTGAACGTTTTGAAACGGTTCAATCTTTTAGCTGTGTTAAGCTATTTATTATAGGCAATACATTGAGGTATACAAGGCTGATACAATCCTCAAATGGAGGGTTGATTTGCATTGTTCAACTGGAAGGCAATGAGTACAGCTAATATGGTATACATAAACCTGTTGTTTCCTTACCAAATCTACAAGATTATGGAGATGAGAAAGCGTCTCCTGGCCATTCTGTTTGGCTTTTTGCATCTTGGCAATAGAGTACTGGTATGCACGACTGCGAACTTTAGAAGATAAAGATCCCAAGCGCACATAAAAACTCTGCTCTTTTGGCAAAGTGTCTGAACCTTCAGTGGAAGTGGCTGCTTCAGCTGAAAGAGAATCTTGGACAGTTTTAGTTACATGAATATTTGCTCCAACCTAGGGGCAAATTAACATTCTAAATAAAATCTGGTTTCTAGAAAAAACATGGATTGGCACTTTACAACTTAAAGTCACTATTGGCTTTAGTGACCATGATTGTTACCATGGTTAAGCAACCCTGTAGTCAAGGTTTGTATAATTACCTAGTTCTTCCTTGGTCATTGGAAGATAGTGATCAACCAGCTGCTCAGATTTGGAGAGAGAAATATCTATGCCAGTAGTTACCAGTTGACCCACAGCACTGGTCCCTTCAGCCACAACTGCTTTAGTTCTTTCCAGGTTGCCTTGTACAGCAGCTGTCGTCATGTCAACAACTCCCACAACTGATTCTTTCATGTCAGCCATCTTGGATGTTAGCAGCTTCTTTGTTTCAGGAAGGACCTGTAATAAGGAAACAGGTCAGCAGTCATAGGCGAACAAAAAAAAAAAAGGACAAGCCATTTATGTACTTGAGATTCCATTTTAAACACCATTTAATTCTCAAGGGTGTATTTTAAGTAGTGACTTCAGCTATAGGAGCTGAAAAATGGTCAAACGTCTGCAAGGTAGAGTTCAAATTCCAGAATTTTAGATGGAAACTTTATATGGGGACCTGGGTTCAAATTCCATTACAGCAGATGGCAGAATTGTAATTCAATAATCTGGAACTAAGAGCCTAATGATGACCGTTAACCTGCAATAGGTTCACAAACAAGATGTGTTCTGATATCTTTAAGGAAACTGCCATATTTACTTGGTCTAGTCTAAAAATGAGACTAGAAACTCAGTAAGTGTGACTCTACTGCCCTCTAGGCAATAAATGCTAGCCTAGCCAACACTTAATTCTCATGGGATGAGACAGTCCTTGGTTGAATCAGGGGTCACTTGGACTGCTTAAGTGAACAAGATTCACAAAGTAGTTAGGACTTGGGGACATTTCTACAATTCTTAAAATTTAAGAGAAAGCTGACAAACCAGAACAGGAATGTTAATTTAGATGTGGAATGATACTAAAAGCAATTGTAATTGAGTAAGCAACATCAGCACTTATTTCCCCTCCATGAAGAAGCATGTTGCACTAACCTGGTCTGTAGCCTGATGAAGGCTAGGCAACTTCTCCAGCTTGTCCAAACCTTTACAGGCATACTCATTAGCTACTGCAACTGGAGAGGTGTCAAATTCAAGACAAAAAAAATGTTACTTTTAAGTAATAAACTTGTGTTGCAGTTAGCACCAAGTTCATAGAGATGGAAGTTTCTAACAGTGGCTGTTACATCTACAGCGGAAACAAGCTACATAGTCCAATATTCATAAAGTTAACTTCAAGCTTGAAAACAATGAATAATACCAGAGAGAGAAAACTGACAGGTGGATAAATGGAACAATCAATCTTGTTCCACTCATGGCTGGGGGTCACAATTAAAACATTATCTAGTATCTTAGTTGGGACTATCATCCAGACTAGGATAACAATTGCTACATATCACATTGGCATTTATACAACAATAAGTTCTAATTACTGGATTGCTGTCCCTTGACAGTAACTAACTGTCAGAAGAGGTATGGAGTCACATGATGCCATTATTGGGCAGGAATGTGGTGCTCTTAAAAACTTTAGGGGAGTCATCTTACTTTGAGGCTCCAGCTTGTCTATAACTGGTTTAACACCACTAGCCACTGTAGCTGCCATTGTCTTCACTCCCTGCTCTGCCACGTCACAGATGGTCTTCACAGCAGGATAGCTCTCCTTGGTGCTTGCATATGCAGCAGACACTTGGTCACAGGCAGAACTCACAAGTGGCAGACTGGTCACCCGATCAACTACATTCTAAAGAGAGATAGGAATTAGTTTTTTTTTGCATAATAATTTTTAAGAGACCAGCATCTACAATGATGTTTATTCCCTCTTAAGGGATAATGTAACCTTAAATTTTCATTTTCAGAAAAGGAACTAGCAGACATAGGGAAGAGATGCTTTTACTCCGAGGGAAAATTTCTAAAGTTCATTACTATCCTGCTTGATAGGAACAGAGATTTAAAATATGCAAGGGATAAAATTGGCCAGCCTTTAGTTAGGTCCACAATGCAAGTTGCACTAATATCAAGTTGAAGGTACAAAGATTGTGGCAAGATTCAGGAAAGTATGCTATAGTACCAAACTAAATCAAATCTCACTCAATTAAGATTTGAAGAATTAGTAGCATTCTTGTCATAGATGATGGATGGAATTGTCTAATACTCTAAGGGCCCAAACAATCTTTCCAAACTTGACAGGGATTCACTTGTACATCCTTCAAACCTGAAGGATTTTTGTTGCTCCCAATGTGGTGTCCTCTACAGTGAGGACAAGTAGAGACTGACTGATTTGCAGAGCATCTGTTCTCAGTACACTATGATCAACAACACCTTCCAGTTGCTAACTATTTTTTAATTCCCCTGCCCACTCCCTTGGTGGGCTGTCCATTCTGGGCCTCCTCCGGTGTCACAATGACACCACATGTAAACTGGAGGAATACCACCTCAGGCGTTTACAGCCTGATGGCCTCAGTGAATTCAACAGCTTTAAACTGTCCCCAGCCTCATCCCAATCTCCTCGATGACGACTTGACATTAGACTTGTTAAGTCCCTCACTTATCAACCCCACCCTTCCCACAACTTATCTCCACAGCCCCTACCTGCATCCACCTACCCCAGATTCACACCCCTTATTTATTTCTAAGCTCCCATCCTCCCCCCCAGTCCTGATGAAGGGTATAAACCCAAAATGTCAGCTTTCCTGCTCCTCTGATACTGCCTGACCTGCTGCATTCCTCCTGCTCCACACTGTATAGACAGTTAAGTCATTCAAAGAAATTGGGAAGACAGGATTGGACAGGGTAGATGCAGGAAGGATGTTCCCAATGGTGGGTGTGCCCACAACCAGGGGTTCATAGTATGAAGATTCAAGATAGACAGTTTAGGACAGAGATGAGGGGACATTTCTTCACCCAAAGAGTGGCAAGCCTGTGGAATTCATTACTACAGGAAGAAGTAGTTGATGCCAAAACATCAGATGTATTTGAGGCAACTAGATATAGCACTTGGGGCAAATAGGATCAAAGGTTGTGGGGAGAAAGCAGCATTAGGCTAGAGTTGGACAATCAGCTATGATCATGAAGAATGGCAGAGCAGGCTCAAAAGGCAAAGTGACCTCCTCCTGCTCTTGCCTTCCAAGTTTCTATGAAAGGCAAGGTTAAGAACAGCTGCAGTCTAAAGAATTATGTAATCTTAAAAACAGGCACATCTACTTTCCCATATTCTTACATGAAGGGAAAGCCAAGCTTCACTTCATAACCACTTTTGGAGAAGGGGCTCATGGATTCAAGGTACACATCACAAAACATACTAGTTTCATACAGAGCAAATATCCTCTCCACAAAACGTTTACCTGTTGGCTACCATTTTCTTGGCCTGCTGCAGTATTGGTAACATCTCCTGTTGTCGATGCCATGATGAGCTGCAAAAAATCTTAGAAAAGATATTTTAGAGTTTTCTACAACAGCAACCTTCTAAAACCACTACACAAGTATCAATAATACAGAAAAAACCCTCCAGAAGAGTGTTCAAGGGGCAAAAATACACAAGACAGCTTGGAAAGTTAAAGTAGGTCTGTCTACTTAATGAAGGACCAGAGACATTACTACTACACATACTTTCAAAGAGGAGTTATTCTAACAGAAGTTTACAGTTACAAAAAATTACTTTTTTTTTTATTCCCCCCCCCCCACCAATTCACAATAAGCCAAAACATCTTACTTCCTGTAAATATAGTCTACATCCCATTTTAGGAGTGTGCAGTGCATTTATACACCTGCTCTCATCAGCTGAGGAGGCACTTATTGAACCAACCAATAGAAACTCACCTAACAGCATTTGTTAATTGCATCGAGCCTCAGAAGCAGGGATTTTCATTGCTAACTGATAGTACACCATTGCAATAAAATTCAATGCATTCTCAAGTAAGTGATAATGTGAAAGAAATTATTTTTAAAAAGTAGTCTTTGAATCTCTTGCTGTAAGAAAGAATATTGCTTACTGTAGGACTGAGCCACGCCGTGAAGTCGTCAGGTTCAATGCCTGTTATCAGCGTCAATTATGGTGTTACAGGAGACATCTCTGTCAATGAGCTATGGATGAAGAAAACCAATGATCCAAGACACCAAACTCACCCTGGTCCATATTCAATAACCATGCTTAGAATGTACAGAGACAAGGAGTAACTTTCCACTTCGATATAGAAGAATATTCCAAATGCTTCACAGAACCCACAACAGAAGAAAACAGAGAACAAAAGCAAAATATTGCAAATGCTGGACATCTGAAATAAAAACAGAAAATGCAAGAAATACTCAACAGATCAGACAGCACCTACAGAGAGAAAGGCAAAGTTATTCTTTCAAGTCAGTTGTATTTCATCAGAATCGGCAGAAGTTAGAAATTTAACAGTTGGTAAACGGATAGCAACTAGGGAGAAGGAAGATGAAATTAAGCAGAATTTTAAAATAGGAGAGGAAAGTAGTGAGGGTAAGAGTTTGACTGGAGCTATCCAAATTCTAGGGTGTTGAAAGCTGATGACTTGGCAATCTTAAATCGGTGATTGAAAGAGGAAGGGTACACTGCAGGCAAGAATTGGAGAAACAAAAGTTACTGAAGGAGAAAGCTTTAAAGCTTTAGGAAGTTTGAGAAGTAACAGAGAAGGGTTTGTAATACAAGGATGGGAATTTTATTTCATAGTATTGAAGAATGGGAGCCAATGTACAGCAGCAAGAACCATGGTGTTGAGGAGGTTTGAAGTTTATGGGGTAATGAAGGATGGGAGGCCAGTACTAGGATAGTCAAATTTGAAGTTGAGAAACACATAGGTACAGATTTCAGTGACACATGGGCAAAACAGAAAGTGGTCATCTTTGGGACCAGGAAGATATGGGCCCCAGCTCAGGATAGAGTTGAATAGGGGATCAAAACATGTGAATAGCCTGAGTTAATGTTTTGAGTCCTGTGACCCTTCTTTTAACTCTGCTTAAACTCTCTTTAACTCTCCAGCATCCATAGTTCTTTGTTTTATTTTCGTGGAGAGGTCATGATGGAAGCTGGACAGTTAAAGCTGGACATCATTACTGTGAATGTGGGACATTGTTCAAGGAGAGGATGTCACAGGATGGCACCATTCACAAGTTGAACTCTTGCCTTATGCAATAATCTGAATATTCACTGGCACAGTCATGCACTTTTTACCCAAGATAGATCAGTGCAGCAATCAGAGTCTTTTTTTATTATTCATTCATCAGCTGAGAGTGTCTTTGGTCATTTATTGCTCATTAATCTCTGAGACAAGGAATTCCTCTTCATCACTGCCTTAACTGGGTGACCCCTCACTCAGAGATTGTATCCTCTAGTTCTAGACTCTGCTACAAGGGATAACAACCTCTCAACATTTACCCTGCCGAGATCTCTAAGAATCATATATGTTTCATTTAGGTTGACTGTCATTCTTCTACACTCCAATGAATACAGACCCAACCTACTCAACCTCTCCCTCTAAGAGAATCCCTCCATAAGCAAGATCAACCTAATGCACTTCTCTGGACTGCCTCCAAGTACAAAGATAAGGCGATCAAAACTGTTTACAGATGTGGCCTAATGAGTGCCTTATATGGTTTTAGCAAGACTTCTCTATTTTTGTACTCTATTCCCTTTCAAAATAAAGGCTTTCAGTCCATTTCCCCATGCTATCATGCTTGACAAATCTTCCGGAAATTTTTGAGGATGTGACCAGTAGAATAGACAATGGTGAATCAGTAGATGTTGTGTATCTAGACTTTCAAAAGTGTTTTGACAAAGTTCCATACAAGAGATTAGTAAGGAAAATTAAAGCACGTGGTATTGGAGGAAATGTATTGACATAGATAGAGAACTGGTTGGTAGACAGGAAGCAGAGGTTTGGAATAAACGGGTCCTTTTTAGAGTGACAGGCCGTGATGAGTGGGGTGTCACAGCGTTCAGTGCTGGGAGCTCAGCTGTTAACAATATAAGTTAACGATTTAGATGAAAGAATTGAATGCCCTATCTCCAAATTTGCAGATGACACTAAGCTGGCTGGTAGTTTGTGCTGTAAGAGGCTGCAGGGTGACTTGGACAGACTGGCTGAGTGGGCAAATGCAATATAATGTGGGTAAATGTGAGGTTATCCACTTTGGTCGCAAAAACAGGAAGGCAGATTATTATCTGAATGGGGGCAGTTTAGGAAAAGGTGAGGTGCAGTGAGACCTGGGTGTCACGGTGGAACAGTCACTGAAGGTTGGCACGCAGGTGCAGCAGGTAGTGGGGAAAGCCAATGGCATGCTGCCTTCATAGTCAGAGGATTTGAGTATTGGAGTAAGGATATCTTGCTGCAGTTATACAGAGCCTTGCTGAGGCTATGCCTTGAGTATTGTGTACAGTGTTGGTCTCCTAGTCTGAGGAAGGACGTTCTTGCTATTGAAGGAGTCCGGCGAAGGTTCACCAGACTGATTCCCAGGATGGCAGGACTGACAAATGAGGAAAGTCTGGATCGACTGGGCTTGTATTCGCTAGAATTTAGAAGAATGCGGGGGTTTCTCATAGAAATGCATATAATCCTGATGGGACTGGACAGGCTGGATGTGGGAAGAATGTTCCCAATGTTAGAGAAGTCCAGAACTAGGGGTCACAGTCTAAAATAAGGGGTAAGCCATTCAGGACTGAGATGAGGAAGAATTTCTTCACTCAGAGAGTTGTGAACCTGTGGAATTCTCTCCCACAGGAAGCTGTCAGGGCCAGTTCAATTGACGTATTCATAAGGGAGTTGGACATGGTCCTCATGGCTAAAGGGATCGAGGGCTATGGGGAGAGGATGGGAATGGGATACTGTGATTGCATGATCAGCCACAATTGTATTGAATGGTGGTGCAATCTTGAAGGGCTGAATGGCTTACTCCTGCATCCATTTTCAATAGTTCTATGTTACAAAGCGGTCATGGGTGACACCAGGAAGTCTAGGAGAATGAGGCAGGTCGTGTAGGAGACCCCTGAGTCTACCCTAATCGGTATTCCATTCTGGAAACTAATGAGGGTCATGGCTCCTCAGGGAGTGCAGCCAAAACTGACTCTATGGAACTAAAGGTGTCTCAGCTGTACAAGAAGAATGGAAGGGCAATAATGATGGGGGATTTCCATAGTCAGGGATCAGACAGGTTTCTCTGCAGCAATAAACATGACTCCAGGATAGTAAGTTTCCTCCCTGATACCGGGGTCAAGGATATTATGGAGCATCTGCAGTACATCCTTCCAGTGGAAGGAGTTTAGACAGAAATCATTGGTACTAATGATGTAGATAGGAGTGGGATGAGGTCCTAAATGCAGATAACAGAGACAAAAACAAAGTTGCTGGAAAAGCTCAGCAGGTCTGGTAGCATCTGTGAAGGAAAAAACAGAGTTAACGTTTCGGATCTGGTGATCCTTCCTCAGTTATCAGAGAATTAGGACGGAGATTAAAAGCAGCACTTGAACAGCAGTAATCTCAGATGTGCTTGTGAACGTAAGAGCAGGAAGATTGATCAATTGAATATACGGCTGGAGAAGTGGTCCAGGAGGAACAACATCAGATATCTGAGCCATTGTACCTGGTTCAGGGGCTGGTAGGATCTGGACAAGTTGAATGGGTTAGATCTTAACCGGACTGGGACTGATACTGCACGAGGTGATATACTAGTGCTGTTTGGGTTGGTTTGAATAACCTATCAAAGGAGTAGGAACCTGAAGAGTAACACAAATTGGAAGGAAGTGATTAGCAGTAAGTTAAAAAGCTGTTCAGAACATTGGAAGACAGGAGAAATAAAAGCGAGCCTCGAGTATTTTTCGAATGCAGAATGATGTAACAAAAGACAAAGTTAAGGGCACTCTATCTGAGAGCATTTGTAACAAGACAAATGATCTAAAGTCAGAAATAGAGATAAATGGGTATAATCTGTTTGCCTTTTTAAAAATTTGACTGCCTGGTGACCAGAAAGTGTATATTCTAGAATATTTAATGTTTAGGAAGGACAGACAGAAAAGAAGGTGGAGCAGCACTGATAATAAGGGATGTAGTAAGGGAAAATCTCAGATTGGAAGAACAATGTATGAAATCTGCTTGAGCGGAACTCAGAAAAAGCAAGGGGCAGCAGACATCAGTTGCAGTTATTTATGGACCACTCAATAGCAGTCATTGTTTTAATTACTTTTTAACTTTTTTATTTATCCAATTATTTTCCTAAGAATTTGTACTCAAGAATCTGTACCTAGGTACCTTTGTACCTACGATGGCAGCATAAGTGGCAACTTGTAAAATTTTCACTGTGCTCATAGGAGTACATGTGACAATAAAACTAATTCAATTCAGTTCAATTAATGGTATCGAGGAGATGAAAGAAGCCTATAGAATGGAAAACACAGTTATCACAGTTGACTTCAACCTGCGCGTAGGCTGGGTAAACCAAATGACCACAGAAGCAGTGTAGGATGAGTTTCTGGAATGTGCTAGAATGGTTTTCCGGAGCAGTGTGTTGAGGATCTGACTAGAAGACAGTCTATTCTAGATCTGGTTACATGTAACATAAAAGGGCTATCTAACAGTCATTGTAAAGGAACATTTAGGTATGTGTGAGCACAACATCATAGAATTTTATGTTTGAAAATGAACCAGTTCATTCTGAAGCCAGGGCAAAACATTTGAATATGGGAAATTATGAGGGTAC